CTGGATCTAATCAGGGTGCATCCATGTCCTGTCTGCCCTGCAGACGGCAGCTCCCGGGGCAGCCAGTAGCCACCGTCTTCATCTCGGCATCACCACCTGCTAATTAGCACGTCACCTGCCATTCCGTTGGTTCTCAATAGACAAGACCATGTTTCACCATCCGATATGCCACTCGTTTCTATTTTATGCCCCAAAATCTGACACTTAAAATGTGCCTGTACTTGTATTTAGGATATTACTCATCACTTTGCTAAAGTTCTGGTTTCTTATCAGATCCCACTTGTTTTCAGATTATACAAATCCTACATTTTACTCGACTTTTGACTTCTCTATTTCTAGTTTTCTTTTTACACCACTGTTCAAAGCTAGTTTCTGTAGAGCGCTGCTCCCTGCCTTCTCGTCAGCGTTCTGAGGCTGCTTCCTAACGTGCATTCATTTAAGACGCTCCGTGCCCCTCCCGAGTGGCGTTTCCGGGCACGTCTTCCCACCTTTCCGATGGAATGTCACAGTGCTTTTCCAAGGCACGGCCACGCCCGGTGGAGCCAGGCCACAGTGAGGTCACCCCGGCCTCCACGCCCCTCGGGGACACCCAGGGCGCCAGGCTCGCCGCACCATGATGCTGCACTCTGCGGCGGGAGAGACTGGCCCTACGCGCCTCCCCTCCCCGAGAATCTTCAATGTTCAGTATCGCTGCTTCCCACAGACACAGGAGACGACACAGCGAACCCAATGCCCACGCGGCTGGTGCCGGTCCCGCAAAGAGGCGAACCCGGGACTCTCGGCCAGGTCCCAGCCGTCTCCCCTGAACTGCTGGGCGCCATGTGCCTGGAGCCAGTGCCTCGGACCCAGGGCTTCGTCCCGCTGCACGAAAAGCCTTGGCATCTAACCAGCGAGGCAGCCAAGAGCTCGCTGCCCTCTGCGCGGCGCTGTGAGCGAGCGGGCGGCATGCCTCCTCGCACTTTACAAAAACATCATTTTACAAGTGTTCCTTCTGGAACGTCTAATGTGTCGTCTGCGTTGCTTAAATAATAAAACAATAACGCAATAGGGAACCAAATGCAGGAGTCCTAACGGAGGGTCACACGGCTCCGCCGACCCCCGTTATAACACTGTCCGGTCGCCGCGCGTTAACCTCGCTTTTTTTAATGCTTTGCGTTCAGGATTTTAAGGAAAGGGCTGCGCCCAGGCCGACAACTAACGGAGGACACGGCTCCGCCGACCCCCGTTATAACACTGTCCGGTCGCCGCGCGTTAACCTCGCTTTTTTTAATGCTTTGCGTTCAGCAGGATAAGGAAAGGGCTGCGCCCAGG